CCTCTTTGGGTCTTTCCCCCCCACTTGGCTCTTGAAAGGCCGAGTTACAGCGAAGAGCTGTCACTCTCCCACAGCACCTCCTTTATTCCGATCCTCTCCCGGCTCAGGCGGGAAGCGGGTTGGTCGCTCATTTCCTCTGCCAGGGGGATTTACTGGCAGGGGAATCCTGCGCCGAACGTTTAAAAACATCTAGGCACAATATTTTAAAGTTCTGCAACTGATCATGGCAATTTGGTAATTGACCTGTCAGCACGTATATCTGTAACCAGTGTTTCTCAAATCTTTCTGCAGTCTGGACTCTGCCAGGTCCAGCTGTCCTTAGAGGTGACCACCAGCACCGTGGCCCATTTTTGTTATGGAGAGGGGAGGAAATTCTGCAAACACAAGATTAATTTTGGCAAAATTGTGCAGTGGCACAAAAATCCCTCAGGAGTAAATGTATGCAGTAAACTGCTTTTGAACTGCTCAATCCGTAGTAATGCTTGGCTCTTGTATAGTTCTTTTGTTGATCTCAAAGCACTTCCCAATAGCATCTCTGAGATCTTTAAAATGTCTCTTTTGTAGGAGGGAACTTTTTTCCCCCTAGGCATTCAACATTCAGTAGAATTTATCCTTCAGGGCAGGAAGTCCTATTCAGACCTGGAGAGATTTAAGACTCTAGGATTGTGTTCTCAGTTTATTTCTGGATTGAGTCTTATGGATGAGCTTCCTAATTATGGCATCCTTCATTCATTAATGCTTTTACAATTAGGCACCTGCCTCTCATTAACTTGGCAAAGGTGGGTCCAAAGTAGGCTGTCAATGTGGCAAGTTAGTAATTTCAATTGAACTGGTTGGTGGAAACTCAACGGTACTCTCACTCTTGGTTTTGATGTTGAGTCCTGATTTAGAGTCAACATGTATAAAAAGCTTTTTTTCCTTTTCCTTCCAACATGACAGGGTGTGAAGCACCTGAACTCCCCTCCACACCTTTTAGCAGTGATTTGGAAAAATATAATAATTGTACTTTGAATTCTGTCATCTTGATTTTGTTATTGTTTGAGCCTTTCCTCGACTGCTGTAGATAGATTCCTGTAGTCTGTGTCCACACTGTATGCCTGCGTGGTGTATTTTGACCAGTTTCACTTGCCTACAGCATCTCAATCTGTTTCTTATGTGTCATTGGCTATACAGCTTGTCTTTGGTTGGCAGTGTGATGTTCTGTCCAGGACACCACAACTGTCAGACACAGTCTCACACCTCTTCTCAGCAAGTGAGGACTTTGCTGTAGATTAAATTGTGTGTTAGCTCCCTGCCACAGCACTCTGTCTGCTTCATCAGTACCTTGTGAGTCTGCCATTCTAAATCTTGCCTTGCAGTGAGCTCCTTTCCCGAGTTTCCCAGACATCTCTGTAATCCAGACTCTCTCACTGGAAGCTAATTGAAATGATTAAGTTCACTGACTCCAAAATTTATGCAATAGCTTTTTAGGCTAGCTGAGGGCTCAGTGCTTAAGCACAACACCATGCTCCCCCAAGTGAGTGTGCTTTGGCCAGCCAGGGAAAGGCAGGAGAGGTCTCTGCCTGAGCCTCCTTCCCCTTGCTCTGGTTGGCCAGGCGAAGGCTGGGACTGACACCCCCCCTCCCCCAGGAGCGAGGCCCAGCCCCGTCCCCAGCCTCTCTCCTTAGAGAGAGGGGGGAGGAGGGAAATTAGCTCCAGCTCTTCCCCCAGCCTGCTGGAGCATGGGGGAGAAGGCTCGGGCAGCGCACCGCTCCTGCCTTCCCCTTTGGGAGGCCGGGTGGGGGGGGGTGCGTTCAAACCTTTTCGCCCTCACCCCCTGCATCCAGACACGGGCGATACCATTTTTAAATATCATGTGAGTTCTTCAATTTTAAAAAAATCCAACCTTTAACATATATGAAATACCCTGTGTAGCAGACTCTCAATTTTGTGTGTGTAAAACCTATTTCTCACCGGTTGCAAGTTCAGACAGATTTGTTTGAAGTGGTCTCAATAATTATTAATATTCAACTTTTGGTTAAAAGTATTTTAGTATACCAAATTGCTATGAAAGATTTATTTCTTCTCAGTAGTTGTTTTCCCAACATTTTTGGGAATTGAGGCCTGGTACAGGCACTGAACCACTAGCAGTTATCTCTTGGTTCACCAATTCTAATTTATAGGTCTACTTAAAGCAATAAAGGATTACTCTTACAGGTTACCTGAAGTAAAAGTGGAGAGCAAAATCTCGTTTTATCACTAAAACACCAGACGTGAATTGCTTTTTCTTTGTACTTAGACTATGCTTGGTATAGATCCTGTTTCCCCACGGGAAGAGAGGAAAATGCTGTTGTCAATACACTAAAGCATGCGAATCATAAATTAAGAGTAATTGATGATGTGGGTGTTCATGGGGAAGGTGGAGTAGTGATGAGACTCACATCTGACCATAGGAAAAAAGTCTTTCAAACTTTTAATTTCATACCTGTTCAGTTAGCATAATTTCTATAGTCAAAAGTGTTTTTTATTGGAGTTTTATGGCAGCAACAAAATGGTGATATAGAAGATGAATGTACAAAGATTTAATTTATCATAGAATACTATAACTGGAAGAGACCTTGAGCAGTCATCAAGTCCAGTCCCCTGCCCTCACAGTATGACCAACCACCATCTAGATTATCCCTGATGTTTATCCAACCTGCTCTTAAATATCTCTAGTCATGGAGATTCCATAATCTCCTTAGACAATTTATTCCAGTGTTTAACCATCCTGACAGTTAGGAAGTTTATCCTAATACCCAACCTAAATCTCTCTTGCTGCAATTTAAACCCATTGTGTCTTGTCCTATCATCAGAGGCCTAGGAGAACATTTTTTCTCCCTTCTTGTAACACCCTTTTAGATACCTGAAAACTGCTATCATCTCCCCTCTCAGTCTTCTCATTCTAAACTAAATAAGCCCAATTCTTTTAATCTTTCCTCATAGGTTATGTTTTCTAGATCTTTAATAATTTTTGGTTTTTTTGGACCTTCTCCAATTTCCTCATGGAAAGGGCCCTATGGATATACCATGCTTGGTCTTGGTGCTGTCCTGGCATCTGGATTGAAAATTTTGAAGCAGTTCCTATGTGGGCCATGCATGTGCGGCACCAACTGGCATGCACTGTGCCAGCAGGCTCTGCACGTGTGTTGCTCGAGCCCTCTAATTCCTTCTTGAATGCCCTCAGCCTGAGATGGAGCTCCGCAGTTCTCTGCTTTATTCGACATTTCGGAAGTAATTTCACAGTTATTATTTAGATCTTGTTGTTATTGTTAGTCGGTTAGGTAAGTCTTAAAAACACCAACAAACAAAAAAAAGACAACCCTTTTTCACCATGCCTGGGTCTCCAGGCTTTAAATGCTGTGCCTCCTGTAGAGAGGCAATCCCCATTTCTGATAGACAGTCACAGTGAGTCAGATATATAGAGCAGTGGTTCCCAACCTGTGATCCGCGGTCCCCTAGTGGTCCGCAGTGGTACTGCAAGCAGTCTGTGGAACGTTTAAAAGTAAGGATTGTGGGCCTGATGGTTATTTTTTCTTCTCTTTTTCTTTCTTTTTTTTTTCTCCCCCAGGGAGGGGGGAGCATGAAATTTTAATAGATTGAAAAGGGGTCCAAATGCTCAAAAAGGTTGGGAACTACTGGTCTAGAGGAACTTAATTTATCCCAGGATAGTTCTCACTGAGCTAAACTCAAGACCAGGACACTTAGGGACAGAGACCTCTGCTTGAAGTTAATTCTGGAAAAGAATGCACATCCTGCCTCAGACCCAGTATTACAACCTAGGGAGGTACGATTACCCTCATGTTCCCTAGAGCAAAAAGGCGCCAAAGAGGAGAAGTTCCTCAGTGCCTCATCGTGAGCCCTCCTCCAAGAAACCATCTATGCCCAGACCATCAGCACAGAGGTCATGCGTTAGTACTTATGACGCTCCAGGTATCTCAGGCATGGCAGTACTGTCAACTATTGCTGGCTCCGACTACAAAGGATCCAAGCAGTGCCCTAAGGCTGCACTCTGGTAGCTGTTACAATACCAATGGCTACTTTGGTACCGCCAGATACATCATTGGTACTGGCTACAATACCGAAAACTACAGCATCACAATCGGCACCGCCCATGTGCCTAACGGTACAGCACCGATGACATCTGCTTACTCTTTGGCACCACTGGCACTGACCAGATTAGCGGCACTGATTATATACTTGGTACTACTGACATTTCAGCAGTTGCTACCATCTACACCGACCACGCTGTTGGCACTGTATAGACTGACACTGCAGACTCCGGCACTGATCCTTGTGGCACTGTTGCCTTATATGTGAAATGCTGATCTTGTGGTGCCATCGGTCCCATAATCGCTGCTTTTAGGCACCGATGTGTTGCCTGCACTGACAACTTCTCACGTGCTGTCCCCAGTATCATTGCAGTTTTCTAGTGATGAAGATGTGAATGCATACAGGCCTTCTTCTCTGCATGCCATACCTCTCGAATGCAATATTTAAGCTGTGCTAGGACCCTCGGGCTGTTCCCACGTGGTATGGACACCACTGGATGCCTTCTCCGGTGCTGCATCCTGCACAATGGCCTTATTGGAGCACTTGGGGTTCCTATAGGAGACATCGTATTTTGCAGCCTATTCCATATAAGCAGGCTAGTTTTTATACACCATGTATGACTTCATCCATGTAACATCCCAGACCCTCAAGTGGCTCAGGCTATGGAAGAATCACTTCCTGACACATCAGCCCCTACCAATTCCTTGTCTTCACCTGATGAGGCTGTGATGCCACCTCCACCTTTGGCCACAGATGACTTTGCACACTTTAACGAGCTCTTTAAGAGAGTTACAGCTGAGTTTAAAATTATACAGATGAAGTCTTCGAATCTCAGCACAAGATTACTAACATACACCGAGCCTTGCCGTCATCCAAAATTACCCTCGCCATCAACTGTGCAATTTTGGATTCTGCCAACATAATTTGGCAAACTCTTTCATCAATTCCACCTACGTGCAGGAGAGTGGACAAGAAATACTATGTACCCACTAATACCTCAGAGTTTTTCTTTACTCATCCCACACCTAACTCCTTTGTGGTGGAAGCTAGAGATGTAAGCAACTAATCGACTAGTTGACTATCGAATAAGCAAAAGCAAGGATCTTCGTGTTGGTGTAGTGGATGGTAGCAACTGCTGATATGGGGTGTTCTCTAGACTAGGGATCTTAGTCATCTTATTTAATGTAGAAATCAGGTACACTTGAGCCTCTCTAATCTGGCAAATTTGGGAAATAAATAAATAAATTATGTCGGATTATGGAATTTTCCATACCATGGGTGTTTGCCATAATGAAGAGTGCTTTGGGGTGGGGGAGGGAGATAGGGAGTGGGAGGGTGTGTAAGGAGAATAGGAGTTCACGGTCTGGCCATCAGGAGGATAGGAGTGGTGGGCTTACCGGTGCCTTGCTTCCACATGTGGCTCCATGCCTCCCGCTGCTCCCAGATACTGCTGACCAACACTTTGCTGTGCTGATGTTCCCCCAGTTGGGAGAAAGGAAGGGGGAATGGTAGCACACAGAGTCACATCCTCCTTCCCTGCCACGGTCCGAACTATGGGTGTTCCTGGATCAGGGCCACCTGGATTATGGAGGTTCAAGTGTATGTGTTTTTCTGCAAATGATCCAGGCTTCAATTTTTATATAACGTAAACCTGCCTTTCCTTTTCCTTTCTGCAGTGTAGTTAAAAATGTGCTGTGAAATTAAGAGGAGGTTTTTACTGCTTTACGCAACACAGAAGGGACAGGCAAAAGCTATAGCTGAGGAAATATGTGAACAGGCAGATGCACATGGATTTGAAGCTGATATTCACTGTATAAATGAGTCTGACAAGGTGAGATATTCTATGCTGTTTTGGAAAATAGACTTTTAAAGAAATGTATTTTCCTGTGTGTGCTTCTTTACGCAAATGGAAGCTATGTGCATGTATAGAGAAGAAAATATATCCTGTACATTTACATTTTTATAACATCCATATCAGTTTGGATCCATACTAAATGAGGCCTCTACCAACCTTGTAGCAGGTGTATCCTTTTTATGGTTAATGTTTTGTGTAGAGTAGTCAATGAGCATATGAATATGTTTCTTGGTGAATGTCTACGTGAGCATTAAAATGGCCTGTTGAAATGATCCTTGGACATGCAGAAAAGAGTGGATGGGAAGCCATATTATACAGCATAAAGCACCATGATTTTTTGGAAGTAAAGACCTGATAGGGAGAACTTGTGATTTCGATTCAGAAATATTAAAATTCTTTGGGAGTTATGTTTTATTGTAACACCTGTGTAATAAACCCTCAGAAAATTCACTGCCCTCACATTCCCTGTTAAAGTTATGAAAGAACTACACTCCCGCTAATCTTTTCCATCTATGTGCACAATAAATTGTGCATTGAGACGTGTGAATCTGCACAACCAGTGGAAACAAAATAACTAGATATGAATGCTCTGCTAATTAGGTTGGTGGCATTTGAATCTTTCCTTAGTGGCCACACAAGCACACAGTCTATAGGGAACACTGACCACATCCACACACATGAGTCCTTCAACAAGAACAAAAGATCAAATATGACATTCCTGGGGAAATGAAATAAGCAGAAAACCAAACCTATATTGAAGATCAGGGATGAGTGATATTTTCATGTAATCATAAAGGGAAACTAGTCCCCTTTTATCATGTCAGATTTTATAGCAACAAAACCTCAACTTGTGAAAGAGCATTTGTTGTGTAATGTTATAGTAGTATGTCTTGTTTACTTATACATATTAACAGTTGTTATGGAAAGCCCATGAAGTAAGCCCAAAATGTGAGGAAGCCTCTAATCTACTTCAGCTCGGTCATCTCTTCCTCACACACTCTACAAATTGGAGAGGGAGCATCTCTAGCTCTTTTTGAATGCAGGTGGTACACTGTTGTAACAAATCTGTTTTATCAGATTTTAACAAGTTGTAATTGAGTTGTGATTTCTTGATTACATGAAATGTGCAGATGTGAGATTTTGATTAAAGTTTTATCAAAAAAAAAAAAAAAGAGAAGTTTTCCAGACCTCTTCAACTACATAGAATCATAGAGCTGGAAGAGAACTCAGGAGGTCATTAAGTCCAGCCCCCTGCCCAAGGCAGGACCAATCCCAACTAAATCAACCCAGCCAGGGCTTTGTCAAGCCGAGACTTAAAAACCTGTAGGGATGGAGATTCCACCACCTCCCTAGGTAACCCATGCCAGTGCCTCATCACCGTCCTGGTAAAATAGTTTTTCCTACTATCCAACCTAGACCTCCCCCACCATAACTTGAGACCATTGTTCCTTGTTCTGCTGAGCAACCTTTCTCCACCCTCTTTGGAACCTCCCTTCAGGAAGTTGAAGGCTGCTATCAAATCCCCCCTCACTCTTCTCTTCTGCAGACTAAACAAACCCAAATCCCTCAATCTCTCCTCATAGGTCATGCGCTTCATCCTCCTAATCATTTAGGTCGCCCTTCGCTAGACCCTCTCCAATGTGTCCACATCCTTTTATAGTGGGGGGGCCCCACATCCTTTTATAGTGGGGGGGGCCCAAAACTGGACACAATATTCCAGATGTGGCTTCACCAGAGCTGAATAAAGGGGAATAATCACTTCTCTGGATCTGCTGGCAATGCGCCTCCTAATGCACCCTAATATGCCATTAGCCTTCTTGGCTACAGGGGCACACTGTTGACTCATATCCAGCTTCTTATCCACAGTAATCCCCAGGTCCTTTTCTGCTGTCCTGCTACTTAGCCATTCAGGCCCCAGCCTGTAACAATGCTTGGGATTCTTCTGTCCCAAGTGCAGGACTCTATACTTGTCCTTGTTGAACTTCATCAGATTTCTTTTGGCCCAATCTTCTAATCTGTCCAGGTCACTCTGGACCCTACCCCTGCCCTCCAGCGTATCTACCTGTTCCCCTTGCTGAGGGTGCAGTCTATCCCCTCATCCAGGTCATTAATAAAGATGTTAAATAAAACTGGTCCAAGAACCGATCCTTGGGGCATTCCGCTAGAAACCGACTGCCAACCTGACATTGAGCCATTGATCACTACCCGTTGGGCCTGACAGTTTAGCCAGCATTCTATCCATCTTACAGTCCATTTATCCAATCCATATTCCCTTAACTTGCTGGCAAGAATATTGTGGGAGACCATATCAAAAGCTTTGGTAAAGTCAAGGTATATCACATACACCGACTTTCCCATATCCACGGAGCCAGTTACCTCATCATAGAAGCTAATCAGATTGGTCAGGCAAGATTTGCCCTTCATGAATACATGTTGACCATTCCGGATCACTTTCCCCTCTTCCAAGTGTTTTAAAATGGATTCCTTGAGGATCTCCTCCATGATTTTTCCAAGGACTGAGGTAAGGCTGACTGGTCTGTAGTTCCTTGGATTGTCCTTCTTCCCTTTTTTAGAGATGGGCACTACATTTGCCTTTTTCCAATCATCCGGGATCTCTCCCGATCTCCACGAGTTTTCAAAGATAACGGCCAAAGGCTCCGCAATGACATTTGCCAACTCCCTCAGTACCCTTGGATGCATTAAATCAGGGCCCATGGCTTTGTGTATAGTTAGCTTTTCTATATACAGTAAAGATCTGATAGTCCGGCATCCAACTGTTCTGCACTCCCGATACTCCGACATCAAAATGCCAAGCGCTCCTGACCAGCTGATTAAAAAAAAAAGTGCTGGCTGTAACCAGAGGGAGCATAAGGTTGGGGGAGGAGTGGGATCCTGTTACAGTATGGAGAAGAGCATTTTGCTTCAGCGAAGGGGAAAGGGGAAGGGAGGGGGAGGAGGATCAGGTTACAGCAGGGAGGAGATGCGAAGAGGAAAGGGTAGGGGAGAGGGAGGGAGATTGTGTCCTGGCCAGCTGTTAAGCTGTGCAGCTGTACCGGACCTCCTGATTCTCCAGCAAATCTGATAATCTGGCACCACGTAGGTCCAAAAGGTGCCGGATTATCGGAAGTCTACTGTAGTTCCTAACTTCTTCTTTCCCCACCAAGGGCTGTCCATCTCCTTCCCATACTGCGTTGCCTATTGCATTTGTCTGTGAAGACAGAGGCAAAGAAAGCATTGAGTACTTCAGCTTTTCCCACATCATTTGTCACTAGGGGTATGTCTACACTACCCCGCTAGTTCGAACTAGCGGGGTAGTGTAGACATACCCCTAGTGACAAATGATGTGGGAAAAGCTGAAGTACTCAATGCTTTCTTTGCCTCTGTCTTCACAGACAAATGCAATAGGCAACGCAGTATGGGAAGGAGATGGACAGCCCTTGGTGGGGAAAGAAGAAGTTAGGAACTACAGTAGACTTCCGATAATCCGGCACCTTTTGGACCTACGTGGTGCCAGATTATCAGATTTGCTGGAGAATCAGGAGGTCCGGTACAGCTGCACAGCTTAACAGCTGGCCAGGACACAATCTCCCTCCCTCTCCCCTACCCTTTCCTCTTCGCATCTCCTCCCTGCTGTAACCTGATCCTCCTCCCCCTCCCTTCCCCTTTCCCCTTCGCTGAAGCAAAATGCTCTTCTCCATACTGTAACAGGATCCCACTCCTCCCCCAACCTTATGCTCCCTCTGGTTACAGCCAACTGCAATGCCAATTGCACTTTCGCCTTCCTGATAACTCCCCTGCATTCTTGAGCAATATATTTATACTCCTCCCTAGTCATCTGTCCAAGTTTCCTCTTTTTGTTAGCTTCCTTTTTGTGTTTAAGCTCACCAAGGATGTCCCCGGAAGCCAATCTGGTCACCTACCATATTTGCTTTACTTGCTGTGCAGTGTGACGGTTTCTTCCTGTGCCTTTAATAAGGCTTCTTTAAAATACTTCCAGTTCTCATGGACTCCTTTCCCCTTCCTGTAAGCATCCCAGGGAATCCTGCCCATCAGTTCTCCGAGGGAGTCAAAGTCTACTCTTCTGAAGTTCAGGGTGTGTATTTTGTTACTCTCATTTCTTCCTTTGGACAGGATCCTGAAGTCTATTATCTCATGATCACTGGTGCCCAGGTTGTCACCCACCTCTATTTCCACTACTAGTTCCTCGCTGTTTGTGAGCAGCAGGTCAAGCTGCGCATGGCCTGTGGTCAGTTCCTTCAGCACTTGTACCAAGAAGTTATCCCCAACATTCTCCAAAAACTTCCTGGATTGTCTGTGTACTGCTGTATTGGTCTCCCAACAGATGTCAGGGTGATTAAAGTCACCCATGAGAAACCAGGGCCTAAGATCTGGAAGCTTCTCTCAGTTGTCCAAAGAAAGCCTTGTCAACCTGCAGGGCTTGTTACCAATGTTCCTTCTAATCTTTTCCATCTAGTTGAGGATGTTTTCTATCCAAGTGCAGAATAAATTTTATGTGCACCAAACCAAGGATGAATGTGCACTACCCACCACCTTTTAAAGCCAGCTCTCTACATGCACCGGCTCCTTCCTGCACCATCATCCCCCTGCGCTACTGCCTCAGACACGTGCGCACCAGCTTCTGCCTCTGGCTCTGCTGCTGCCCCTGAAGCAGCAGCGCAGGGGGCAGGGACAAGAAGCTCCCCATTACACTTTCACATCCCTACTTATTACCCATTTCTGTCAATAGACAATTTAATCTTGTGTTGTGCCTTGTCCTATTTAATTCATGTGTTATTTGTTTAATTTCATCCTTTGTAATTTAACTGAGTTTCCACTTTTTGTGGAATAATAACCTTCAACAGACTCCCTCTAAATACTGGCGCACCGAGCAATCGTACTGCTCTCTTACATACAATGTAACTCCTTGTCCTTTTCTCCCCCGCCTGTTCTTCCTGAACAGTTTATACCCTTCCATGACAGTGCTCCAGTCATGTGAGTCATCCCACCATGTCTCTGTTATTCCAATCAAATCATAGTTCTTCGCCTGGGTTAGGGCTTCTAATTCTTCCTGTTTGTTTCCCAGGCTTCTTGCATTGGTGTACAAACACCTTAGATAACCAGTTGATTGCCCTGCCTTCTCCATCCGAATCAGGGGTCCTCCGTTATTGCTTGTTCCTCCTTGTGATTCTTCCCGGTGTCCGACTTCCTCACTTACCTCAGGGCTTTGGTCAGGGCATCCCCCAACGAGCCTAGTTTAAAGTTCCCTTACTCCTTGTCCGGAGATCACACTGGCAATAAAATAGCCGTATAGACATTCTAACCCAGTCTTGAGCTCAGGGTTTGAAGCCTTTAGAACAATGGTTCCCAAACTTTTTGGCCGAATGAGGCAGCAAAACTTGATGGGAGAGGAGGCTGGGTCGACTTGCATCCTTCCCTCCCCCCTGTAATTTCTTCACGCCCCCAGTTTGGGAACCTGTGCTTTAGAAGGAGAGTAGAATTCAGGGATGAAAGCCTGAGCTCTAGCCTGAACCAAAATATGTATTCTGCATGGCTGTTTCTTGTGCTGTAGCATGAGCTTAAGTCTGTAGATCCAAGCTGAGTCTTGCTGCTGCTGTGCTTTTTACAGTGCAGACATACTCTTAGGCCAGTGGTCTCCAACCTTTTTACACCCAAGATCACTTTTTAAGCCTCAGAACAGGCGAAGCTCTACTGCCCCGCCCCTGCCTTGAAGCCCCGCCTACATTACATGAGGAAATCTAATGTAAATGTACTGCGCAGGTGCACAGTTCAGAGAGGGCTCAAGAGCTACTCTTAGAGCCCCTGAGATCTACCCCATGGTCTTAGGCTATGTGTCCACAGCAGTGTTATTTTGGAATAACTGACTTTATTCTGAAATGATATAGTCTGCATCTACACTACAAGCAGTTCTTTCGACTTAATGTCAAAATAATGTCCAGCTGGAGGTAGGGATGTTAAATATCGGTTAATTGAATAGTTGATTAACTTTATGAATTCTTATCAGTTGCTTGACTCTTTTATAATGGGCGGGGTCAGCAGCCAGTGTACTCTGGCCCCATTCCCAAGAAGCCCCCTGCCACTCAGCGCTGCTGCCTCTGTATCAGAGACAGCAGCGTGGGGTGCCAGGCGGGAGCTGGTCCATGAGGAAAGCCAGTCTGAAAACCAGCTCCTTTTGCATATCGGCTGTCTTTCGCCCTGCACTGCTGCCTCTGATACAAAGGCAGCAGTGCGGGGTGGCAGCAGCCCCTCTCCAGGGGAGGTCTGAGCTCTCGGATTTGATGCAAGCTGGGACTGAGATGGGTTGCCTGCCTGCCTAGCTCCTAATACGCTTTAAATGCAGAGCTGCAGCAGGGGTAGGTCTGGGATTGCAATCCAGGACTGAGCTGGGCTACTGACCAGCCTGTTAAAAAATTACTGGTGGGAGAGAGGGGGGAAATCCATGTAGTCTATAGGATTAACCTATAAGCTTTTGCTTATCGGCTAATCAGTTAATCGGCCACACTATTACATCCCTAGCTGGAGGACTTCTTACTGTGACTCCTGTAACTCTCATTTTATGAGGAGGAAGGGAAATCAGAGGAAGAGAGCTCTTTCTTGGACTTCTTGCTGTGTAGACAGTGCCAAAAGCCAAAATATGCTCTTTCAATTTAAGCTACGCAATTGGCATGCCCTTAATGATTCCAGAGGGCCTGCTCTGCTATAGGGATAGTTCCCAAAACACTATAGGGAAGGAATGTATGCCACTAATGCATGTGCATGAGACTTCAGCAATGCATGGAAGCGTCTTCACTCTTCTGTATTGTTTGCCAGTCCTTTCTGACCCAGAGTGTCCCAAGAGTTTGTGGTTTTATAAATCTGTGTGTGACTGAATGCTCAGCATATGCATAAGGCCATAGTGTTTTGCCTGTGAATGGATGGAAGACACTTTTTAATAATTATTTCTTTGTACATTATTTTGTACAAAGAAAAAGAAGATGCATTGTCCTTATTGTGGGTTTATTCCTGCACAGTTGTATTATAAACATTATAGCAGGGTTTGTTAGATGGGTTTGTAGTTTTATAGTTTACATTGGAAACAGCTAAAACAAGTTATTTGAAAAGTTGCAAAAAACCCTGTCTTGATAGACCTAGTTTGCTTGCCTTCATTCATACCACACAATTTTTTAGAATTGTATAGTGGTTCTGGGTCTATGCGGATAGTGTTTTTATGAGAAAGATGTGGAAAACCTTACAATTTACATTATTATGGGTTTGGAAAAGCACCACAAAATCTAAGTTCTAATTAAGACCTAACACTGCTCTTATTATAAGACCTCCTATTGTCTGTGCTGTAGATGCTTAAATTAAGAACTAGTAGCATTATCAAAATACTCTAGCATCCGTGTCATAATCTTTAATTATAATTTGTCATGACCTTAATATTTAGTTTTAAGCATTTTTTTAAATACAAGCAATTATTGGAATGTGTTTTAATTAAAGTTGTCTTTTTCATGTGATTCTAGGCTTATCCTGCAGGGATACATGAGGACGTAGATGTCTAAAAAATCAAACTTATAGTTGATATGCCATTGCCAAAAAGCTCACAGTGCAGCAGCAATCACTTTTCTCTTGATCTGGACAGCTTGACTTGTCAAAGAACCTTAATTGTTTTCAAACTGAGAATTTTCAAATGTTTGTAAATAAATGCTTGAGTTGATTAAATAGTTGTTCTTGTGAAAGAAACATATATCACTTAGCAAACAATCATTAAAAGCGAGATAAGCAAAAGATGCTTTCCCCAAATGATAGGTGTCTAATATTGCCTGATATTGTAAAGAACCATATTTTCAAAACACCACATCTAAGTTTGGATATGCAAGAAATGATGTGCTCAGAATTTTGTCTTTAACTGGTTGTTGATACAAATGATAAGGTATGAGATTAAAGCCTTGTTGAAAATTTGACCCTAAATATGCAGATGCCATTATTTCACAGGCTTGAAAGTGTGTATTGCTTTCACACATTACACCCTCGTAGAGTTTCATAAGATTTTTGTACCATATTTGTAAGACAATGCTGTTTTCATTTTGTACAAAATTAAATGAACACTGATCTGTTGTGTAACACCACTGGCATTCTTTAGGTTAATTATACATATAACATAGAGTTAAGAGATGACTTGGTATTCAGACTTCTGATATTAGGTCGTGATTTTTCTATACAAACTGTTCCACCTGTTAGAATAGGTTAATAAACAAGATGTTATGAGATGTCATATCCCCCAAATAAACTTGTCATTACTTAAAAGGCTTACTATGGTCTTATGCAGATAGGGAGAAAAGAGAAGAGAGAGCATAAAAATGTGGCATAGGGAGAAAAATAAAAGTGAGACGCAATCCAAATTGTAAAAGAGAACAATTCCAGGATCAACCTTTTCATCTGATTGTAAATATGCCTTGGGCAATACTTTTTAATTTGCTTTCTTTCCCTCTTTTTGTAGTATAATCTGGCAACAGAAAAGGATCCTTTAGTGATTGTTATTTCTACTACTGGAACTGGAGACCCTCCAGACACTGCTTGCAAGTTTGTTAAGGAAATTAAAAACAAGACCCTGTCAGCTGATCATTTTGCACATTTACGTTATGGATTGTTAGGTAATACAATATTTCCTGTGTTACTATTTCCTGTACTTCTATATCATCATCAGAAATTTAACTTGTCACTATGTTGTACCCACTGTAGAGAGGTGTCTTTCTTAAAAGTTTATTTAAAAATGGTAAATATATCTTCACAAGTATGAAAAGGCTTATGGGATACCATTTGGTTGATTAGAAGCCAGCGGCTAGTAAAAGAATCTGCAACTTAATAGGCTGATTCTCCTAAAAGGAAGAGCAGGAAATGGAAAGGAGGAGCTGCAATACCTGACACAGATTGGAGCTACTGCTGGGAGGAACTGTTCTCTTAAATAGAAATGGAGAGAAGGAAGACTGAGAAATTTGGATCTTGATTGTTGAGAGTTAATATAAAAGGAAAGAAACCACAATAACTGACCATGCTGGAAACTAATTTCCCTGGACTTGGGGAGGCAATTCTAGGGAGAATTCCCCCAGGGAGTTAATTGGCTCAGCAAGAGCAAGCAAGGATCCATCCAGAATATGGTACTATTAGACAGGTTAAATCTCTTACATTTTAAGTGTAATAATTTTGGAACAGCATAGTGATTGGGCATTCTTAGGAATGAGAAATAATTTGAGACTACAAATTGGGATACAAGGTGTGGATTTGGAAAATATTTTTTTTACCAAGTTTGTAATATATTGACATAGTTTAGAGATATGAAAGTGTACAAATGGCAGTGTTTTTTTAATGGAAAATTTTTAATGCTTGTGCCACGAGTCACCATGACGTATTTCAACAACAGTGAGAAACTTCAGATAGTGCTTGTTAATTTCACTACAGTAAGAATTGTAACTTGTGAAACACACTTATGAGAAACTTAATGGGGAAAAATCAGGGAATCTTTAAGTATAAAAGTAAATCACAAACAGTTCTAGAAATGCAAGATTAAATTTGTTCATATGAAATTCCACTACCAGACTGCTACTGTGTATTCAATCTGCATTTCAACTATCAGGCTACAAAACTTTGTCGTCTGTAGTCTGAAGTTTATTTTTAAAGTCATGAGAGTTTTCTGAAGAGTATAAGAATATGAAGCCATAATCATATTAATTCTGGAGAACACAGTATTTATTACTTATTGAAGGTGGACGATTGAGAATGTGAAACAGGTTATTGATTTTTTTGTAATTGATTTCATGTCTCTTTAGTTCTTTAATGACATCTTTAAAACTAACAGTATATCAGTCGATCAGGGACTTAACAATTTTCAAGTATCTAAAAGGTAGTTACAAGGAGGAGGGAGAAAAATTGTTCTCCTTAAACTGTGAGGATAGGACAAGAAGTAGTGGTTTTGAATTGCAGCAACAGTGGTTCAGGTTGGACATTAGAAAATGTGTCCTGTCAGGTAGAGTTGCCAGGTGTCTAATTTGAGCCAGAATACCCAGTCAAAAAGAGACCTTGATTGTTGCTGACTGGGCTGTTAAAAGTTCAGTTACCAGTGCAGAGGGGCTAAGGAATGCTCCCAGCCTGGCTCTGTGTGGCTCCCTAGATATGGGCTATGTCTAGACTGCAGGCTTCTTTTGGAAGAAGCTTTTCCGGAAGACATCTTCCGAAAAAACTTCTTCTGAAAGAGAGCATCCACACTGCCAAAGCGCATAGAAAAAGTGATCCACACTGAATGGATGCTATCTTGCATGTAAGCTGTGATTATTATGGGTGGAATGGCCACCAGGGCACCTGTGCTTTTTCCTCTTTCCTCTCCGTGTGAAAGAACTCTCTCTTCCCTGTCCACACGTGCCTTTTTCCTAAACAGCTCTTTTGGAAAAAGGCTTCCTCCTCGTAGAAAGAGGTTTACCTATGTCGGAAAACCCCCCTCTGTTCTTTTGATTTTCTTTCAAAAGAACGCAATTGCAGTGTGGATGTAATTGAAGTTTTTCCGAAAAAATGCTGTAGTGTAGACATACCTATGGTGACATGTCCCTTGACTTTTAGAGGAAATGCAGCCAGTGGGAGCTTGGGAGAATGGGGAGGACAGTGCTTGCAGGCACAGCATAGAGTCACCTGGCCATGCCTCCACCTAGGAGCTAAAGGACATGTCACTGCTTCCAGGGTGCCCTTTGAGCTATGTTCCATCCAGAGCCCTCACTTTCTTCCACACCCCAACAATCTGCCTCAGCCCTAAGCCCTCTCCTGATCTCTGAACCACTTGGCCCCAGCCTGGAGCTCCCACTTGCATTCCAAATCTCTTATCTCTTGCCCCTCTCCAAAGCCCTCACTGCTGACACCCTGATCTCCTGCCCAGCTCAGAGCTCACTCCTGTTCCTGAACCTCTCATTTCTGGCCCCAGCCCAGAGTCCTCATCAGCTCCTAAACAAGTTTGTGGGGGGGAGGGGAAGGAGGAGGGGAAGAGTGAATGATAGAAAGAGGGGATTAAAGCACTGGATTAAACTGCCTAGGGAGGCTGTGGAATCTCCCTACATTTAAGAGAAGTTTAGATGAACCTGTCAGGGATGGTCTAGATAATGTTTATTCCTACTATGAGATACTGAATTAGATAACCTCTTGAGGTCTCTTCCAAACCTATGATTCTATGGTTCTTTGTGAATAGTGGGGAAAGATACCCTTTGTTATACAGAAATACCAACTACATCTTTTACTGTGGCTTCTCTAGCCATTGAGAAGGCAGTGAGACCGCGTATTCACAATTTAGTTAAGATCAGGTATCCTCTCTGACCCTGTGCTGGATCAGGAGCTTTTACTAAGGTCATTGAGGACATGGACCTAAGAATTATGCTTGGATATTTTTCACTCCATATCTCATTGATGTATTTCCATTTACCTCTCTGGTTTTAAAATTTACCTTTTTTTTTACTTAAATTTATGTAAATGTTCCTGCATATCTAATATTTGTCTTCTTTTTCTCTCTGGTATGTTTAATGTTTTTTCCTCCATTAAATTAGTGATATATATTAACAATTTTAGCTCTAGCTGAAGTAAGTTTATTTCTTGGGAATTCATGTGAAATTTACAACCTACACATCCAATACTCCAGTCATCTGAAGTGGGCTGTGCCCATGAAAGCTTATGATACCATCTACGTATTTTGTTAGTCTTTAAGGTGCTACCAGACTATTTGTTGTATTTAAAATTAGTTTGTAATTAGTTCAAATGTTTTGAGTTTCTCTGACAGTTGTTTCTGATGTTAAACACCTAAAACATGACAGGAGGATGTTGCTTGAGTATTTTCAGTGCCTATAACTGTAGCAACAGAAACATAACCGCTTGAATTTGGCACTGGGCAGAGTAAATGAAGAGGAACTATTTTTCAGCTATATCTTAATACTGTAAACATTTATTCAGTTTTCAGTTTATGCATGTGTTTTGTCAGTTTAAGATCTTTTTCTGTTTGTGAGAGAATACCTTGATTTTTACAGTAAATTTTATATCTATTTATCTGATAGACATAAACCCTTTTTACATGGATTTTTCAGGTCTTGGAGATTCTGAATACATGTTCTTCTGCAATGGTGGGAAGATAGTAGACAACCGGCTCCAGGAACTTGGTGCACAGCATTTCTATGAGACTGGATTGGCGGATGATTGTGTAGGGTACGAGCAGAATTAGTTTAATTGCTTTTCTATTTTCTCCCTATGAACACAGGATTACAGATAGATGCTGCCAGGTGCTGAGCACTCTGTAAAGCCAGTTTATGAAGCTATGCACCTGACTGGATTGAACCCAGTATGAATTAGAAGAAACATATTTATCTTCAGGGGATTTGAATGGGTCTGTTTACTGAGAAGTGCTAAGTATCCGCAATTCCAGTAGAAGCTGTGAGGACTTAGCCCTTCTGAAAACTGTATGTGAAGACCTTTTAATAAACACTTATGTGCTCGGACTTTCTGTCCTATATTATGAGTACAAGGTTTTATTACTAGTTTTTAGATTGAATCAAATAAAATTCAGTCTTATAAATACAAAATAACCACAGTTTTACAATATCTCGGGTGACAATCAGGTTGGATGGTTTCAAGAGGGTCTCAGAAGGCTGATAGCCCTAATGTTAAAGGCCCTTTTTGCTAGGAACTGAGAAGGGGTTACCTAAGGTCAATTAAGGGTACCTAAATCCAATTAAGGATTGCCTGGGGCTTTTAAAAACCACTTATTTGGGAAGAACCAGAAGTTTCCCGGAAAAACTCTTCCATGTCCAAGGAATGTGTGTTATTTTTCTGAAAAAAATGTGGAAAAGTAGATGTGTTTTTTCGGCATCCCTGTAAACCTCTTTTTATGAGGAAGAAGGGATGTTCTGAAGGAGGATTTTTTTCCTGACATTTGGCCCCATGTAGACGGGCCAAACGTTGGAAAAGCCTCTTTTGGAAGAAAAGCAGAACAAGATACGCAAGTTGCAATTTGACTTTTCTTTGTAGAGTTATACACAGCCTCCCTCTCAGTAGTGTCCTCTTTTTTGAAAGTTCAAATATGGTAACCCTAAGTGCAGATAGGGGGTAATATGACCTCTAACTAGAATATGGAGACTGGATTCAAACGAAACTGTGACCTCAGCTTCATACATAGGAGGTTTATACAGCTGAGCATATCAGTTTCTTTTGTCTCATAACATTTGGCGTCCTTGGAGCACTTTGTGTTTGTCTTCTTATTTACCCTTCTATAGTAGAAAGATTACTGTGAGAACTCCCTGAAATTATTTTTGTGTTTTTTCTCTCCTCTGTAAAATGGCCTGATAGCCCGATGGTGAGCTTCCTCATAAGAGTATAAAAGTTGTATAGTTGTCAGAGTGTTTCTTTCCTAATTCTAAAAAAAAGTGGTATAAAACGCAAATATGAATTAATAATAAAGTCAGTCCTCTTAATAGCAGTTGTTTGCATATATGTAATGGGAAAATGAAAAATGCTATCACACCTTTTTTGTTCTTTTGGTTGTGTATAAGAAATAAAAGTAAGTCATTCCTTATGTCTACTTCACCTTGTTTATTTCAGTTTGGAAATAGTGGTGGAGCCATGGATTGATGGGCTTTGGTTTGCCCTCAGAAGAGAATTTACTTCTCGGAACGCAAAAGAAGACATGAGCAACAATCTTAGGGCTGTCTCTAATGGTGTCTCTGCAATGACTGTAGACCCAAGCATGTCAGGAGCATGCAGTTTAGACTCAGAACTACAGCAGTTGAAGCTAGAAGACTTACAAATTCAAACTCCAGTTGCTTTATCCCAAAGAACAGCTAATCTTCGTTCTGTGGTGTCTGTTCAAGACACTGAACCTTCACTTGATTGTTCAGTCCCTCCTCTTTCACAGTCTGCTCTTAATATTCCTGCTCTGCCACCACAATATATAGAAGTACAATTTCAGGAAAGCACTGGTCAGGTAAGGACTTCAGAGTTTTGGATGAGAAAAGATTGAAAATGTTGATTAATAGTTATTTACACTTATGTTCCTATAGTTTAATGGAATATAGTTGTAGCTGTGTGCGTCCTAGGAGATTAGAGAGATGAGCAGTGTAGTAGGTCCTTTTGTTGGACTAACTTTGGTTGGTGTGAGAGACAACCATTTGATCCAAAACTCTATACGACTCAAAAGCTTGTCTCTCCTTCCAAGTGTCTCTAAGGTAATAAGTAACTATATATCATAGGTGGAATCTGAATATTTGTAAGTTTAGGGGAGTTATATAACAGGCAAGATGATACACCATCTCTAACAAAATCACACCAAAATGCCAGGAAGTGTACAATTGTAATTGCTGGAATGGTCTAAAATTTATTTTGTAGTACTGAAAAACCCCTTCCATTAAAATCAGTTTAATCCAATTTTCATTTAAAATATAGTATTTTACAAAAATTAGAAATTATTGTGCAAAACCAGTGTAAAATACAGCTGCATAATCAATAACTGACAAAATTGCCACCATAATAGCTACATATTAGTTTTACTGTTGTAAATAGAAAAATAAATTGCAGATTAAAAGCTAGAAAATGATATTGGGCTTTAATCTCAATATGTTTTTGCAAAGAAGCCATTTTAAACTGTGCTATGCTATGCAAAACAAAAGAAACCTAACCAACTCTCCACTGCCTCCGCTTGTAATCCTTTGCACTTTATAGTTATGAATGATGTAGAAAATGCAGCTTACAGACAATACTTTCTTTGCCAGACCCTGAATATTTGGGTTATTTCAGATGACAGATGGAATTCTGATATGTTCTTTGTTTTGTGATAGTTTTGAAATAAAATCCCATGTTAACTTAAAAGTTGAGAGAGTAGTGTTGCTTGCTTTGTTGTTTTTTTAAAAATCAACTTGATATCTAACTTCTTTCCATTCAGCTATTGTTAAACTGCTCTCTGCCCTTTTGGCGCTTTGGTGAGACATCTTCTAAGGTTAACTGGAATTACATTAACCAAGAAATGACAAATGTGTTGAAATAATATTTTAGACCCCAGATAAACACCTTTCTGCAGATGGAGCCAGAACTTTCTTGGTTAACCAAGGAACTGTGCATTTTGATTTAGTAGTCTATCATGGACATTTTTAAATTCTTAGCTTCACGGAGCCAATACTCTTCTATAGGAATTTAGCAAATCTTGGATTATTATTGTGGTGTATTACATTTTAACAATTCTCTTTTTCTTTGAAACAATGCAACTAATGCATTTGAATAGTTTTTGTTTTGTTTTAAATTTTAGAAACATTAAGCTCTCATTTTAATCTGTAAATGAAAACTTCAAAATTGTAGAAAGTTAAAAGGCAAACCATAAGAAAATAAAGGTTCTAGATATGTATATGAGACCTACTAGGACACAATGAAAGAGGTACAGAACTAGAAGTTGAGAGGGGAAGAGGAAGGGGAAAAGGTGGAGTGACCACTGACTGGATAGGTTCATGGCTAGAGAATGGAATTAATTGTCATTGGACAATGAAGACAGGAGTGGGTGTATTTTTAAATTGGGAACAGGGAACATTTAGAAATTTCTGGAAGGTGAGTAGGGCATTTGATAATATGGCACTATATGAAACCGATTATATTTCATCATGTTTTTCAGTTTTCACAATATTGAATTCACTGGATGCTTTTCTTATCCTGTAACTGGTACAAATAGGTACAACTAGGTGATCAGTGTTTACACTCAAATTATGTCCTGGATAGCTGGGAAGGTAGGAAAGAAAGGAATCTAATGTGCCTCCTTATAGCCTCTCCGGGGCTATGTCTAGACTGCAGGCTTCTTTCGAAAGATCGCGTCTAGACTGCAGGCGGATCTTTCGAAAGAGAAATCCGCTTTTTCGAAAGAGAGCACCCAGCGAGTCTGGATGCTCTCTTTCGAAGACGGCCTCTTTACATTGAAGAACGCCTTCTTTCGAAAGAGGAACTTTCGAAAGAAGGCGTTCTTCCTCGTGAAATGAGGTTTACCGCCATCGAAAGAAAAGCCGCGTTCTTTCGAAATAATTTCGAAAGAACGCTGCTTGAGTCTGGACGCAGGGGAAGTTTTTTCGGGAAAAGGCTACTTTTCCCGAAAAAACCCCTGAGTCTGGACACGGCCCTGGTTACCTGCAGCACTGGAATAGAAGCAGCCCCTGCAGAGCTGCTGTTTTCTCTATACCAGTGTAGGTGGGCAAGAGGGTTTGGGGAATGAGTATAGTCTTGATGCACAAAACCTCCACCATCACAATGGGTAGTATGAGAAGCAAATGGTTAATTTAGAGGGTGCCAGATTTGCTGAAGGATGTGTGTTCAGTGAGGTTTTTTCCTGCTAGGATCTTTTGCAATTAATTATTGGTGTAGAATGTTGAAGCTTATTTCTCATAAGAGGGAATAAATGTTAATACCCAACTATTTGACTTTGAGGCAGTTTACTTAACTAATAATGCATTTTTATTTTTTAGGATTCAAGCCCCACAACATATGTAGAGTGCAACAATAAGCATTTTTAGAAAAATTGCTGGCCTAAGTGGGATTTTTTTCCCCCAAACTGATATTAGTATAAAGATTGATTAGGAAATCAGATGTGAAATAGTATGTTTTGGACTCTGATAACATGGCTCAAAGACAGAGATGCTATGTGGCAGAATGATCAAGGATTATAAACTGTGGAAAATGAAGGCTAAAATTTAATGCTTTGGTTTCTTTGAGTCAACAAGCCATTTGAGGAGACTGATGAACCTTGTATGTGAGGCCAGATAAAATAATTAAAATGTGTATACTAGATTCTCCTATGAACTGTTGTTTTCACTGTGCTGCGGCTATACTGGTACATGAGGGTAGTGGTACATGAGCTGTACTGGTACATGCACTATTCCATGTATAGACTAGGCACAATATACTTCTCCCCTGAAGTGAGAGCTGGGTGAGGAAATGTGTAGCACAGTTTCTCTTTCCCAGGTTACTCCTAGGGCAGTGCAACAACATGCTGTCCCTACATATTTCACAGTCTAGTCTTTTAGTGATTACCTGAGTTTACCTGAAGCTGAAGAAAGATTTGAGGCGAGTAACTGAGTGCACAAAAATAATGAAAACTCATTTTTTTAACTAAAATATAAACATTGCCAAGCAACAAAATGGAACTACTTTACTTAGCCAAAACTGATATGTATAAGCCACTCACTGGAGCATATCATAGGAATCTTGCTATTCATAACAGTTTAGAAAACTAGCTCAAGGGACCCAGATTAGCTACAAATACATGAATTAGAGCATCTCTTAGATATAAAATGTAGCCAGCAACACACTTTTTAATGTTAAGGCTTTCTTGGATGTTCAGCTTTAATCTTTAAAGGATTTTATAAAATTCTAGACCTTTCTCTACTATGAGTAGAAAGGGTTGAATTTTGCTAATGCAAAAATTCCTATCCATCTGAGAAACAGTATAACGTGTGTTCCATTTTCAGTTTTCTTAACTCTTCTCTAATGGTAGTTCATGATGCTCTCTGATATGGATGGGAGTAAAATGAGAATTGGTGCCTCACCTTAATTGAGGGTGCCCTGTGGCAGAGGTGGGCTGAAATTGTTTTTTTTATTTTTGGAAGCATTTTCCTTCATTCAGTCAGAAAGAGTTGCTGTAGTGCTATACTGGATGCAGAACAAGTTGTCTCTCCTGGTGAGCACAAAACCTGAATTCTGGCTCTCTTTTGTTGTACTATCTTTAGACTTCTGAGGCTTACAGATACAACTGTATTTAAAGGTTTCCTTCATAAGCTGCCTATAGGTCTAACCCGAGCTGTAGTCTACATTTTCTAATTTTTAAGTCTTCGCTAATTTTGAAATTGCTTGTATTCTTTCCACATTCATTAGCAATGGTGTTAGCCACTCTCATCTTTCTCTCATGCAATGTCTAATATAATTGCAAATTTTAAATTGGATCTTGTAAGGTAACACTGCAAAAAGAAAACTACTGTACCTGTATTTGGTATCCCCTTTAGGAGTATTTTTTTCCTAATTTGGGCTTACTATACTTTAAAATTGGTTTGAAAGTTCCCTGTTAGTACTCAGGTATGAATTTTTTTAAAAGACATGGGGGAGCTAAAGCTTAGGGGCTGGATGTGGCCTGTAGCTTGCCTGGATCCGGCCCTGTAGCTCAGAGCTACCCCCTCTAGCATTAGGGAGCTTGTGCTGGCATTATAGTCCATTTGCCACCTCACTGTGGGGCTGGAGCACACAAAATCTACTAGCCTGGGGCCCCCAGCCTCTGGTGTGTGAAGGGAATGTGGGGAGTGTCTTTCTGCTTCTCAGTCAGGGACCATGTCAGTGAGGGTTTAATTCTCACTTGTGTGCAGCCTCCAACTGATTTTTTTGTGGGTCAGTGGCCCTCAACCCAAAAAAGGTTTCCCACTCCTGAGAGTGCATGTTTACAGTGTTGTTTGGAATTTTCTTTTTAGGATGTTAATGTGAAAAAATGTGTCCAACTAATCACTAATGTGTTTATTTACACATGTTATAGACATCTGCCATTCACTTGGTTATATTTAATCAGCTCAAACTTGTATATTCTTGTTTTCAGGAACCTAGTGTGTCCTCATTGATTTCAGATGGTACCGTCTTCCATGTTCCAGTAACCAAAGCATTTCAGCTCACTAAGGAAGATGCAGTAAAAACTGCTTTGCTGTTAGAACTTGATATTTCAGTAAGTTAAAAAACCTCAACTGGTGGAAGAAAGGGTAAAAAAATATTAATTCGAGAACAAGCACATTTATATGCTAATCTGGGTAATATTATTAAAATATCTTTCTACAATGGGTTGAAGTGTGGGTCAACTGAGATTGATCTTGTTGGTAGTACAAAGGATCTCTCTCTGTAGAGAGTATGGCCCATTTAAGCTAATGTTTAATAGTCGTTACATAGAAAAACCTCACTTCTTTTCTCTTCAGCGTGTTTTATATTTGTTTTATATTTAAGTAGTGTACTAGGGTTTTATATTTATATTATATGGTCATTATTTGCATGTGCAAATAATGAACATGCATCTATGCAAATAAAATGTTACCTGTCCTGTCAGAATGTGTACCTTAGCTCCGCCCCCCAGAGCTTCGTCACAGAAACTCCCGCTTTCCAACACCCATGGCTAGGGAGGCTAAATTTAAATTATTGGGTAATCAAATAGTCGATGCAATTTGTATCAACTATTCAATTAGTCAATAAGGGTGCCTCCGACTTTGAAGTGTTGCTACACTTCAAAAGCGAAAGTGCTGCAGGGACCATGGGGCCAGAGGGGGACTCAAGAAGTCCCCCGCTGGCCCAGTGCTCCCTATGGCATTTCAAAGTGGCAGTGCCATGTGAAAACACCCCCTTCTCACCTCCCCCCATTGCTGCCCCCAGCTGGCCCTGGTCTGCACACGGCATTTCAAAGGGTCTGGCCCTAGGCTCCATGCAGCGCTGCCTTTTGTGAAGCACCCCTCCTTCCCCCCGCCTACTGCCTCTTTCTGATAAAGGCAGCTGTGGGGGGGGGGAGGGAGGGAAAGTGACTAGTCAACTAGTGTATCGACTATCTGATGAGCATTTGCTTATCGGATAGTCAGCTAGTCGTACACATCCCTACCCCCTGCTGCCAACTTCCTTTTCTCAATCAGCTCTGTTTTGCCTGGAGCCTGTCCTACATCCGCTGTTACTAGCAGTTGTGGCACACTGTGTCCCAGAGACCCCCTCCCCAATTAACTGGTAGCTCCAGCCCAGCCCTTTGCTCCCCAGTGTCTAACACCCTTTGAACTCCCACCTCTATGCCCTGTGCCCTTTGATCCTTTAATCTCTGATCCCTTTGCCCGCACTCCCCAGAGCAAGGCTGCCCATTCTAGGGAGCATGGCCATTGCTGGGCGGGCGGGGGAATGGCTGTTGGTGGCATGCACCCCTTTCCTCCTTTGCGCATCCTCCCTTCCCAAGCACTTCTCATGTCCCCATTGGTAGAGGTGGGGATTGGGGAGAGCACAGAGCTCCAGTCAGGCCACCATCTTACCTGGGTGGGAGGGGGGACAAGGGAGGGAGGCGCCTCCTGTTCTGCCTCCTCCTGCTGCCACATCAGCCCAGCGCCATCACCCGGCAAAATCAGCCATCACAGCTGCCAGAGTTGAAGCCGGCTGCTGTGTAGCAGCTCAGGAGTCTGGGTAGAGCCTTAGCCCCCAGAGCAGCTAAAAACACCCAGCTTCAGCTGTGGCAGCTGCTGCAGCCCAGCAGCCAGCAGTTTGTGGCCTGGCATTGGTCTGTGGTCCGGTGGTTGGGAACTACTGTTCTAAGGGACCATTCAAAGTAGAGTTGCCTGTTAATACCTCAGTAGTCAGAAAACAATAAGGGGATTATTGGGCTACAGACTGTTTTAATTAACCAGAAATGCTGTGGTTTTGTTTAGTCCATGATTTATAGGAATTTAAACTCTGAAGCTTGTCTTCTGAAAGTATTGTGCAGGTTTCCTTTGAGGATGAGAACTGATAGGTCAGACATAGAAGATTGCTTTGTAAAAAATCACCCCCAGCTATGGTTGCCTTGTTCTGGGGCTGTGGTAGAAGGTGCCAGACCTCTCCCCTCCATCCATGGCAGCTCCATGTTAGAGCACCTGCTGGCACCCTCCTTCCTCCCCCTCGCCAAGGTACCAACCCAGAGTTGGGGGATAGGTGGTCTTTCCATGGCCCCCACCCAGCCTAACCCAGATCCTCCGCAGCTGGGGGACATATACTCCTCCCCTGGCTGTGCCCACTGGAGCTTCAGCAGCCATGGAGTAGTGCTTCTCACCTGGCTCCAAGCTGCTGGGGTACTCCTCTCTCTACAGTGCAGCCTGCATACTGAACCCCTCATTCCCATCTCCACCCCAGAGAAATGATTTAAATGAAGTATGTACATTTTCGTGTCATTTTCCAAAAATATATATATTAATTGAGTTAAGGACTTGTGCAGTGTTGGATAAGTCTTCTAATTGTATATGATTATAATCGCCATTCAATGAAGTATGTTAACCTGCTAATTTTCTTTTAAAGATAACAAATTTAGGTAAATTATGTATTCACTCTGAAGATTCATTGTTTATTCAGCTAATGATGGTGGGGTTATCTAGTATATACACATCCCCTTGTAAACACATTTTTTTTCTGAATTAACCGTTTAACAGGGCTTATTCAATATTTGAAAAACTCTTTGACCAGTAAGCGAATAGGTTTCTGTCAGCCAACGGTCAGGGCAGTGAGTGGTGTGTGTGTGTATACTATACATCCGAGACTTCAACTGCTGAGACCGGGGTCCCTTGCAGTGGGCAACCTGGAAGAGGTTGACGGGCGCCCCAATAAGTGTGCAGGAAGAGCTTATTACACTTCAGATTTTAGCTGCTAGAATCTGTGATTCCTTCGCAGCGGGCAGCCTGGGGGAGGCTGAGAAGTGCCCCAACGGATTTTGCCACCTGGGTGTGACACAAATCCAAACGCCCAAGCTCTTCCTATACTGTCCCTAATGACCGGCTGAAGTTCTTTTAAATTGTGCCTGGTTCTGTTACAGCAACTGAAGGAGTCAGGTTAAAGCTTAAACATTTACAGGTTTATTGAGGAAGCTTATAAATCATATGGTTGCAATGGCTATTGTTCTATTTCTTAACTGCTGACAAATATATATGTATATATATAGAAAAAAATGGTTACAAAGAAGATAAAGATAGGAAATAGAAAATAATGGTACCAAATGACAGCTTAATCTTTAAAGAGCTCTATTCTATGCATGCACTATAACAAAAGGACACATACAGGTACAATTTTTACCCCCTTCTGCGTCACTTGGTCCCAGCGTGTCAGGCCAGGATCGGTCCCTCAGTTCCTCGGAAAGACGAAAATATGAGGTGGGCGTCCCCGTGGAACCTCGGGAGGTCAAACACCTAACCCGACCAGCAGGTACAGGGCAGATTGACACTCAAAAGAGAGTGTGCTGCAGTACCACCTTATATATCCGTTGGGTCACGTATTTTCTCTTTCTTATCTGTAATGCCAAATGGTGCTGGTCTGTCTTTTGTGAGACCAGTTCTTACAAGGGAGTTGTGAACTTAATTTACACTTGTAAGAGAGAGTTGAGAGGATTAAATTGGAAGTACTGGACATTCTTTTTCTCAGTGGGAAATTCCTCTCCCAGGGACTGTGTGTGTTCGAATCAACATGGGTGCCAGCCGGGCACGTCTTGCAGCCTCACGCTCAGTTTATTTCCTTAATCGTTACTCAGAGTCAGAGAAACTTGCATATCCTGTTCTCACATCAAAGCAGATCAAAGCTTAATGGCTATGCTGATTTTCTTATTGTTCCTTCTCTGCTCTGTATACAGACATCTCAGAGGGCAAGCAAGATTGTTTGAGATGGGGGGGGGCTGTCTGGCTACAAAGGGGGAAAAGCAATTTAATGTGTGTGAGTGAGAGATCTTGGCTTTAGTCTAGGCAATAGGCCACTGGAAATATCTTACTAGTGTGTTCCCAGGGATACTCAAAATGGCTCACACTCTATTAAAATACGGGGGAGGCTGCCTGGCTACAGTTTCCTAAGTAGAAAGCCTAAATTTAAAAAGAAAATATTACATGCTTAGATTTCTGATGTACCAGGACCAAATCTACTATATATTATGGATGTTAAGTAACGGTGAATTACCTAATCAAGTATTTGATGGAATTTCCCTTGGGAGGGCGGGCGGGGTGCTCGCAGCACATTTTAAATGTAGAAAGAGCTGCTGGGCTCTTACTTCATTTAAAGTGCAGTGCCGCAGCTGGATTAGCTCCAGGGGCTCACAAGACTTCGGGACCATTACAGCTCTGCGCTTTAAATGTAGGAGGGCTCTTCCTACGTTTAAAGTGCAGAGCCACAATGGGGTTAGCACCCGGGGCAGCACGAGCTGGGACTGAGCAGTCCCAGTTAGCACCGGCTCCAGTAACACTGTGGCTCTGCCTCCCCTCTGCCCTTTCCCCCGCTCCCCCACACACACCACACTGTGGAGACAGTGGGGGCAATCAGCTTTTAAGTGAGCTCCCCTCAGCACTGCTCTTGCTTCCCCTTCCCCTTGCTGCCTCTGATACAAAGGCAGTGGGGGAGGGGGGGGTAGTCAAGTAGTCACTCAACTAATTGCTTACATCCATACTGTATCTTTGAGAGTTTGTGTATCTGTCTGTCCATCTGTGAGTCTGTTGGTTCAAGAACTCTTCCTAAATAGTAAGAGCTAGGACTACTACATTTGGTATTCAGCTTCCTCTTATCATAATTTAAAGCAAGGTCAGGCTATGATTGTGCCAGGACAATGGGATCTGCATAAAATGTGATTGTTTCTCATCAAACAGAAAGGGAGGGGTGTGATATCAGGGACATTTGTACTCACCAGTGACCACCGAGGGGCAGCATGCACCCCAACTCTGGGCTTCAGCCACCTGCCAGCAGCACAGCAATTGCCGCCTCAGCCTGCCCCAGAGAGTAGCTGCCAGCCGTCCAGCGCAGATCTCGCTGCCCAGCCACCTCTGCCAGCTGGCCAGTGTGGCTTCCCACAGCACCGGGCCAGCCCTGGGGAGCAGCCATCAGGTGGACTATGCAGCCTCCACTGCTCCCCATCAACCTCCGCTGCCCTGCACTGGCCTGGGGAGCAGCCACTGGCCACCCCTATACCATGCCCTGAGTCCTCATTATCTTGCCCTGACTCCCCCAACTGCCTGCTCTGATTCCTGCACCCCCTGCCCTTAGCCCCTCCTCACCCCCCCCAACCCTGACTACTGAACCCCTCACATGCGAAAGCCCCGGTCCTGACTTTAGCATCACCCACACCCCTTTACCTTGAAGGACCTGGCCAATGCCAGGTAATCTTCTAGTATAAGATTAATAAAATAAAATGTAGAATATAATGACAGTGTAGTCTTAAACAGCAAGACTGTGTTTTATGAGTCAAGAATATGGGCCATGGTTTATTACACAGCTTTATAAAAAAATCTTTATTTTATAACAGAAAACAGCATTTTCCTACCAACCTGGAGATGCCTTCTGTGTCATATGCCCCAACAATGCCAGGGAAGTACAAGAACTTCTGGATACCTTGGGACTTTCAGAAAGGAAAAAGTGTGTCGTTTGCTTAAAGATTAAAGAAGCTGTTAAAATAAAAGGTAATGATAATGCACTATTAATCAACAAATAATACTAGCTTGCTTATTTAAATATAATGGATGCTTATAGGTTTGAACATTTTGCCTTGCCTCTTCCCTCAGCCTAAGGGAAGGCTTCTGCTTAAAAACTCTCTAAGGTCACAGATTCCCAGACTGTGTGTGGTACACTTCCACCACCCAAATTTAAAAACCTCTTAAGAGCCCAGGAAGATGCACTTGGAAATTTCTTCCTGTGGGGTACCCATAAGCTCTTTAACCCTCCGTCTGGAGAGAGTTTGAAAACAAATAGTAATTTCTTAATAGCTGACCTTTCAGACTCGGGCACGCTCACACAGAACTTCCTGCCTTCTAGAACACAGGAATCAGATCATAGTCTTAAAAAGGTGATTTTTATTAACAAAACAAGACATATTTGGTAAAGCATATTTGGTTGCTAGGCATTTCAGTTTTTTTCAGTTCTGTAAGGCACTGTTAAAAATTATGTTCAATTAGATTAAGAACACAAAGAATTGCTTCTCTGGGATTCATTTTAAATGTTAGTGTATTAGAGGAGAGGGGTAGAACATCGGCTCAGCACAGAGGAGTTAAACAAATTCCAAAATAAAGAAAATAACCTGATTACATCTAACTTAAACATTCCTTGTTCTAGTCACATATCTTCTTCCAAGGTTTAGTCCTTCTCTAAGCATGGATGTTGCTGAATATTCCAGGCCTTGCTTCCTGGCTTGATTCATGTCTGTATTTCTTCTTTGGTCACACACAGACTGCAGCAGGAAGATCACTGCTTCCCATTCAAAAAACTACCATTTGTTTTCATTGGCTCTCCTAGCTCCCTGCCAACACTTCCTGAATACTTTCAAGGACCCTATGTCTCCGGGTTTAACCTTTATAGGCAATTTTGTTACCTGAATGGTTGTAATGTCCAGAAAAGGGTAGTACCCCTCCCATTTATCATGCCTTCCTTCCACTTTATTGCTTAGAAACTGTTGGACAATATCATTACGGTAGTCTATATAATCAAACAGGGACAAGCAAAATCTTGTCATCTCTTCCAGGAAGCCTTCAGACTTGGAGCTGGTGTCAGGAACCAAATCAAGATACAAGCAGTATGGCTTTCTGATATTTACAACTTTCTGGCATACAAATTAAGGCGAAGTTTCTTGAAAGACCATGAATGGGTGATTCACAATACAGCCCTAAATGAGATATTTATACAGTAAAGTACTTTGCTATGGGATCTCTGTGTCCCAAACTAATAGGCGGCTCTCCTAAGTTGCTCCAGGGCAGCCATTGGTTGCACTTCCAAGGCCATGCTTTGATGATGTTCAGGATGAACAGCCTCAGATATTCTTTTCCTCCCATCAGACATAGAATGCTCATCTTTGTCTTCTGTTCAGGAGATCCTTAACCAGAGTAGAAAAGAGTCTATTGGAACCTGTCCTCATGCTAAGTAGAGATGCTTTTGAGCCTGGGCACAACTACATCACTGTTCTTCAGATTCTGTAAGCATCCTGGTTGTTGTAGATGATTTCCTGTCCACTTCAAGTCTTTCTGTTAGTTCACTAAGAGTATCCGTATCAGTGATAAGTGCATTTCTCACTACAGTGGAAGGACCTGTCCTCTTTGCTCACCCAGCAGTACAGTACAATACATGAAAGGCCTCATCAAGACCTTTCCACAAGTGCTTAAACCTGTTCCTCAGTGGGATCTTAACTTTATCCTGTCCAAGCTCACTCGTTCTCTTTCGAACTCATGGAGACTTGTACTTTGGCCCACCTGTCCATAAATGTGGCATTTTTAGTAGATGGGGCCAAATGGTGGAAAAGCCTCATCCGGAAAAGCAATTGGAAAAAGCTATGCAAATTGTGGAGCGCAATTTGCGTACCTTTTTTTTTTAAAAAAAAATAAAAAACCTATAATAAAGACCTAGCCTCACTGTTTCCTAATTCAAAAGAAAGATAAAAGCCTTCAGCCATTTCTGGATCTGAGAAAGGTAAACAGGTCATTCTGAAGCAAAATGTTCAGATTTGCAACTCCAGAATTATCTAGATTGCTTTGCTGTTCTCAGTCGCAATGTAGTTTACTTTCATATTTTGATAAGACCATCACACAGGAAGTGTCTTTGTTTTGTCATAGTGCAGGACCATTTACAATACAGAGTCCTCTTTTTTGCTATTTTTATGGTACTCTGAGTATTTACAACTTGGCTATTTCTAATGGCAACTTTTCTGAGAAGACAGAAAGCTTTTATTTTTCTATAATTTCTGGGTCCTAAAAGTAGTTTCCAAAGACTAACTGAAGGAATCATTCAATTCCCTATTCCAATGATTGTCATGTTTGAACAAAAAGAAATCTCTAGTGATATTTTCACAAAATAACCTTTTCTATGGAGCATTTCCTGACTCCAAAATGGCAAAAGCTTGCCTCCTGTAGGAGAAATTCCTAAAGATGAAATCTACCACTTGTTCTCTACTTCAAAAGTCCATCTTAGAAAGTAAAGTTCTTCGTCTTTGTATTGGATCTTATGGCATCAGTTATAGCTTATGCAATACGGAAGGTTAAAACTGCATTTTATATCAGTAGCATCAGCCATGCTCTACATACCACCTTTGTCCCATGTCAGAAGGGGTTGCTTCAATGCTTGGACAGAAGACGTCCATAGGAAATCTCGGGATTCTGCAGGAAGCAGTGAGACTAATTAGGCATACAACATTCTTGTCTGCCAAGTCAGAGTGGTGGCCCATCTAATCCAGGATACATCTCTGAGAGCAAGCAGTACCAAATTCTTTAATGTGTAGAAAAACCCTATCCTTCTCCAATGGAGGGAAGTTTCTTTCTATCCCTTATTAGGGGCTAGCTTATATCCTGAAGGATGAAGAATTATATATATATAATTCTATGTAATTAGAGCTTCTGAAAAAAAGGAAAAATATTTTTTGACATTTTATTGTTTGTAGAGCTTCTCTCCATGGAGATTTTTCCATCATAGGGGAGATGGCAACAAGGACTTGAATATTCAACTGTAAAGCCTATAATAATATGTGTTTAACCCTATTATTTCATATTCCAACTTTTCAGTAAGTGTGAGTTCTTTAGTAAGTTCTTTACTAGAGAATGTTATCTAACTATTTAGTAAAAATGCCAATAATAATTCAGAATATGAAATACAGATTAATTCTGATATTTCTGTAAAAAAACAAATGCATTGTGATACTGCTACTGGCTTTAATTGATTAATTTCCATTTCTCCACTCCACAGGAGCTGCTCAGCCAGAGCATATACCTAAAGGAAGTACTGTGGAATTTATTCTTACATGGTGTCTGGAAATAACAGCAGTTCCCAAAAAGGTTTTTATATCTTGTTTTGCTATTTCTAAAAAAAGATCTTACAGATTTTAAGTCTGGAAGAAACCATTCTAATTTAGTGTGACTGCCCATATAACGCATTCTATGGAACTCTCCCAAAATAATTCCTAGAGCATATTTCTTAGAAGAAAATCAAATCTCGCTTTAAAAATTTTCTAGTGATGGAGAATCCACCATGATTTTTGATAAATTTTTCCAGTGGTTAAATACCTTCACTGTTAGAAAATGTACACCTTATTTCCAGCGTGAAGGGGCATATGCGTACCCCCTTGTGACGGGGCGTATGCATACCCCCTTCTCTCTGGTGCCCACTTGAGCCCTCAAATTTTTCTCTATTTAGAGTTTTAGCAGTCCAATGTGCTGGTCCAGCAGTCCGTATAAGTGTTGGTTTACAAGAGTCTGTATATTTGCCCCCGCCCTTGGGGGATGGAGTAGGGGGACCCAGACCCGCCCTCTCTCACGTGTCCCAGCCCAGGGCCCTAAGGACAGGCTTTAGCCAGGTTCCTGTCCAGCTGATGGGGCTTCTTGCCGCAACTTGCCAGCCCACGGGCTTATACTGGAGAGCCCTGCCCTGGGCTACTTCCTATCCCGGATACATCTGGAGGGTGTCATAACCCTCCTGGCTGTCTCCTCAACACATGCAGCCTGCTTGTTCTCTCTCTCTCTCTGTCTCTCTCTCTCTCTCAATTACCCACACCTCCCTTCCCTCACCCGCTCTCTTGCCTGTCCTCCCCTTCTGTCCCAACTCCCCTTTTTAAATCTCCCGCCCCACTTCCTCTATTCGCCCTTCTCCGTGACATCACCTCTGCGTGCCTCCCAAGCCCCGCATTCCCCCCCTTACGTCATTCCCGGTGCACCCATGGCAGTGCCCCACCCCAGACTAAGGCGCCGTTCAGCTGTACCGCGGCGCGTGAACACACAGCACAAGTGGAGCTCCAGCTTCCACGCTCCCTGTACAGCGCAGAGGTCGGGGCATCCGGAGTGTGGGGCGATAGTGCCCCATCACATCCAGTTTGAATTTGTCTACCTTCAACTTCCAGGCATTGCATCATGTTACACCTGTGTCTCTGCTAGATTGAAGAGCCCATTATCAAGTATTCATTTCCCATGTGGTTCTTGTAGGCTGTAATCAAGTTATCCTTTAGCCTTCTCTTTGTTAAGCTAAATTGACAGACTCAGGGGCTCAATCTCTGTAAAGTATGTTTTCTAATTCTTTAATCATTCTTGTGGCTCTAGATCCACAAAACTTGTGCAAACTGCCAGGATGCCACATTTTCATGTCAGTTTCTGTTTCCATGATGCTCCTCTTCACATCCAGGCATAAAAGAGAACAGATCCCTACACAAAGGGGAGTTCTCTGAGAAATGTCCCCGTGGTTGCTTCACTTTATGTGAGTCTGTGCCCCTGTGCTTCGAATCAGAGATTTTTAGTTGTGCCTAGTTGGGTGTCACATGCCCTGTTCCAGTCGTGCACCACCTCAGGCAGTTACACAGCTCTGTGCAACCAGCCATCCCTCAGTTCATTCTCTACTATCCTTGGTTTGAGATGGAGCAAGTGGCAGTGCCTCAGAGCTTTATTGGAAGGTTTAGCTTTAACTTTAGAGTACTAATTAATTGGTAACTACTTTAGCTCTTCATCCTTCATTTTATTTTTAAAAGAAAAATCTTATTTAGAATACAAGTTTCAGTTATTAGGTTCCCTCTTAGCGTAGTATAATTACCCACTTTCATGGGAGAATCTCTATTCTAAGGTGCATGACCTGCTCCTCAGGTTTTAAACATTGCCGCAGTTGGCCAGTCATCATCATTGGTTTTTTACTGGCATTCACAGTGTGCATTGCCTTGGCAAAACAATAAACCACAAAAGTACTCCCACTCCCAAAATATGAAGTCCCATACCAGGAAAGCAAGAGACCTACAGCTAAAACTTCTCATAATGGAAAAGTCTCTGTGCCTGGCATCCAAACCTCCTGTCTCTAACAGTGGTATTTTACAGCTCATCGCCCTCTCAGAGGAAGTAGCACTCTTCCAAAAAGGTGACAAAGAAATGGGGTTCAACCTCCCCTTTTCAGGGAACCCACCAAAAAATAGATAATTTTCCTGCACATCAGACCTCATCGGTACTGATCACACTGAGACTGGGATCATCCGGTACCATTCGAACTGTGCTAGACAAAGACCCCTCAGCATCTGGAAAAGAAAAAGGTACAAAAGGGAAACGTACCATCCCTGCCTTGGTAATGCTGGGGCATGCTCAGACACATGACATCAAGCTGTTCAGCAGCACTGCAGTCTGTAGCTCTGTGACAGGGTGTATCAACCCTGCACTGGAGCTGACGGAGTTACCTTGGCCCAGCTGGCTGAGAGGGCTGACTGCTGAAGGGGAAGGAGGCGCTGCAGGGGAGGAAGAGCAGCCAGACCAAATGGCAGCTGGGCTGAGAGGGGATACAGTAGAAGCTGCGGGACCTGAGCATGAGGACGGAGAGGACTTCTGACAAGAATCCAGTAGGAAGTAGCCCAGGGCAGGGAATTGCTCCCCGAGAGCTCAGTATGTTGCGTCAGGATTCCCTGCTGAGCGAGCAGTGGACCGTGCCACTGCTAACAGGTAACCGGTGCTGGTACTCGGTGGAGGGCCCGGATCCCCCTATTCCCTCCTTTTCCTAAAATATGTAGGCCTAGGCCACTGGGCCATAATGCCCTGAATACAGGGGGTGCACATATTTACTGAAGCCGCTGAGCCGTAATACCCTGAATATAGGGAGCATGTATATTAACTGAGACCGTTGGACCATAATACCCTGAATATAGGGGTTGTGTATATTAACTGAGTCCACTGGGCTGTAATAACCTGAACACAGGGTAAGTTTATATTGTACTGTGAATAGACTCGGGGGCTGTTAGGCTGCTCGATCCAGAAGGGGAGTTGAAGAGGCCTCCAAGGACCAGTTGCCACCCTCACTGGTAGTCAAGAAAGTCTCCCCTTGATAGGCACCACCTGCTGCCTCCACAGTGCATAGCACAGCACTCTGGCACCAGCAACCACAGTAAAAACAGCCAACAATGAGGATTATGATGAAGGGGAAATCTACTCTTCCCATTACTCCTTTTCTGTCTACACAGCTGAGGGACCAAAATATGGGCCCATTCTCGATTGAAGATGACCGCGAATTCATGAAGACCCAGCTATTTAGAATGGTCACTCTAGCAATGATAATTCCAGCACTAGCTGAAGAATACTAATTTTTGGCCCTTTACCTCCAGGATGCATATTTCCACATAACAATACATCTTTGAGACAGGAGGTTTCTCAGTTTAGTTCTGGGAACAGACCATTTTTAGGATGGAATACTGTACTCCCTTTCAACTTACCTACAGCTCCACAGGTATTCTCAAAAGTCCTTGTAGCTCACTTCCACAGACAAGTGTCATAATATTACCCTATCTGGAGGATTGCTTCCTCAAAGCCTCAACTTGAGAAGAGGCAATAGAAACTACCCAAAAGTCCAGTAGTTCTCTTACAGAGCTAGGACTAGAAATATACAAACAAAAATCAACATCCATACCTCTGCAGTTAGCTCCCAGAAAACTTTGTGAATCCTTCCTAAGGTCTTCTGGCCTTCAACAACCCCAAGCAGATCAGTGCTTAATAAATAATAATAAAGCTTTAAAACTTCTTTACTATGTCTCCCTTGGTTACAGTAAGGCCTTATGGTACCCAAAGAAGTAAGCCAATTATAAAAATGTTTAATTTAAAATGATTTCAATTTCAGAATCAATTACAGCCATAACAAGCTAAACTACAGAGCTTATTTATATACTCAATTGCAGACATCATAGCAACATTAAATCAAATGTTAGCACAGGCCGTGAGAATTTCCTCATCTAACGGACATAACAGAAGGGATTCAGGAAGGCAGAATGTATTTGTCCAAAACGTACACCAAGGTAAAACCGCTGTTCTGACATAAGTATAATGGAATTAAAAGTGATGTATTTCATGTTATCAAAAATACAGCAGTCTCCTTCATGGTTTTGGGGTTTTCTTGATTGCTGTTAGCAAAAGTTTGCTGTATCAATAAAGATATGGAAGAAACAGAAAAGGTCCATAAATGGGTAGGAAACATAACTGAAGGAATGGAGAGTTTTACATACGAAGAGGAACATAAAAAAGGGACTGGACATTTGAACATTACAGTTACACTAGATTTGAGCTGGATGGAATTTTTGAATTTTGTAATTTAAATGTAATTTCAAAAAGAAAAAAAGTTGATTTTCCCCTTTTTTCAGCTGCTCTGATTATATAGATTAAAATGTATGTAAAATGGGTATATAAATCCTCATGCTTCAAGGCATAAGCTATCTCCTAATGAGGGACAGGAAAAAAACTTTCCCAATGGGTACTGTTTGCTGTCAGAGACTGGACCCTTGATTAGATGAGCCACTGCTCAAACTTGGGAGAGAAGAATGTTGTGTGCTGAATTAGATGTGCCTTGCTTGTTCAGTTGTAGTAGTTTTTACAACAGGATCCACTAGATGTCAGTATTACACAATATTCCTTTTAAGAAAGCCTTTTAATTGACGTAACCTTTCAAAACTGCCTTTACACAGTTTTGTAAAATTTGTGTCAGCAATGAGAGAGTAAGTAAAATAATGGTTAGGGAATACCACCCAAGACAATTTTCATAACCCATCTGCTTTAAAGTGCTCAATGCACAACATGTTTTATATAACTTTGGAGTCAAAGCTGTTACTTTCTGCAGAGATTTAGGGCTAGAATATAATTTGTGCAAATTCAGAGTATTTTTGTGGGGAAGAATACAAGTGTTGATTACACTGAATATTTTGGTTCTCCTGTTTCTTATTTATGTATTGTGTATATTTCAATGTCATTGTGAAAATGTAATACTGCAAATATTTAAACATGATTTTCACTGTCTTGGAATATACAATTTATTTTTCCATAGGAGAAGTTCATATTACTGTATGTGGACATAGGAGAACAGAGTAGAATACTAAAATTACATTTATTCTGTTCAGTATACTGTACTCAATATTGCACATACCGTATAGACTCGAGTATAAGCCGAGTTTTTCAGCACATTTTTTGTGCTGAAAAATGCCCCCCTCGGCTTATACTCGAGTCAGCCTCCTGCTCGCGGGCGGGCTCAGCGCGTCTCTGCCAAAGTCTTCTCAAGTTACTTTGGCAGTTATTCCAGGTGGGCTTACATCTGTATTGCAGCCCCTAGATGTGTGTTTAAATAAACCTTTCAAAGACCGTGTGCGAAAGATGTGGCATGAATGGATGTCATCTGGTCAAGCTCGACTGACAAAAGTTGGAAATCTGAGGAAGCCAGACATAGAATTGATAGCACAGTGGGTTCGTGATGCATGGGAAGAGATTCCAGAGGACCTGGTGCAACGCGCCTTCAAGAAATGTGGCATTAGTAATGCTATGGATGGCAGTGAAGACAGCGCTTTGTATGAGAACGACAGCAGTGATGGTGATGACTGTGAACTCAGTGATGATGACAATGTCTATGCTGATAACCTCACACCAGCTGAAGCTCTGTTTGGACATACAGATGATGAGGAGGAGAACTCCAGTTTTGAAGGATTTTAGCTCTTGTGTGTTAGCTTGGTTGCTGATTGAGCTAAGGTTGTTGTACTTTTAAAGTTACGGTATTTTTGATACCATATTGTTTTTGTTGACCCCTTTTTCCACTTACAGAGCTAGGTTATTGTTTTTCTTTGAAATAAATATTCATGTAATTTTATTGGTATCTATCTTCATTTTTTACATTTACCAGTAGCTGCCTCATTTCCTACCCTAGGCTTATACTCGAGTCAATATTTTTTCCCAGTTCTTTGTGGTAAAATTAGGTGCCTCGGCTTATATTCGGGTCGGCTTATACTCGAGTATATACGGTAATACCTCTTAAATTGTTACTTCTATCCCTGTGTTTGTAATTCAGTGTTTCCCTGGAGTTAATATGTATTATGATGCTATTTGCTTACATATAAGCGATTAAGGATCAAATCCACACAAAAAGCCTTTAAGAAATGTTAGGTGTCTCGAGGAGTATATATTATCCTCCACCTCACTACATAAGATTTTGTAACCTGCTACACTGCTCTAGGCATTGGAAGAGGTGGATAAGAAATGGAAAATTTGTCATGGGAGGTGAAAATACATAACACGTAGCAAATTGCATTATTTGTTAACCTACAGGATGTCCCTGCAGGCAATCCAGATTATTCCCAGATAGTTGGGCACATCTCTACATAGGTAATAAATAAAACATGATGAAAATACAAACAATAAAATTCTTCCAAATTAAAACTCTCTTCTCTCCTCCTCCTAGGCATTTTTGCGAGCTCTCATAGAATGCACCAGTGATGCCAGAGAAAAGCGAAGACTTCAGGAGCTTTGCAGCAAACAAGGAGCCTCTGATTACAATAGTTTCATCAGAGATCCTAATATCTGCTTGTTGGATTTACTCCATGCTTTTCCAACATGCAAACCCCCACTTAACCTGCTGATTGGTAAGTAGCTGATTTAAGTTCAGTTGTGTTCGATTTCTGAAAATGCAGCAGAATATACATTTAAAAAACCCAAAACACTTAAGTTATTGCTTCTTTGGGAATATCATTAGCCATGGTTATCAGACTGAAATTATAATCGGAAAGTAAAGATCTGCTCTTCACCCTGTAGTGTTTGGCCTCGATTCTGCCAATGCTGATGGACATGCTGAACGTCATGTGTGTGAGTAGTCCCTTTGACTTTGCCCTGCTCCTGTACATTATTGATAAGCACTGGCATAAGTGTTTCCAGGATCAGGTCTTTATTTGGAAATTAAGTTTGAAAAATACATTTTTAAAAAGGCTAACATTTTCAAGGGCCCATTTTCCAACTCTTGTTTGTTGTTTGTTTGTTTGAGCTTCTCATGTTCTTTTTTGGTACTCTGTGTTCCCCTGTATCCAATATGTCTGTTAAAAACAAACTAAAAATACCTTTTTTTATAAACATAATTTTCTTAAGAAACAATGCAGTAGATATCTTTAAAGAAAACAAAACAACCCTGAAAAGCATTTGTTTTGTACAAGGTAGTGCTGGTTCAAATCCTAACTTTTGCCTTGTATATGCAAATAGATGTTTGCAATTATTTTATGTGAATGAATAATACAGAATGCAACTCTCAGGGTACCTGTGTTAGTCTGTAACTTAAGAAAACTTTTAAAAAAGAGTCATCCTCTAGCACCTTAGAGACTAATAAAAATATAGATAGAATCATGAGCTTTTGTGGGCACAACCCACTTCTTCCGATGAGTTGAAAAAGAGGCACGGAGCAGTAAGGGAAGGAAGAGGGGGATTAAAACCCCCCATCAATTATAGCGTTCGTGCTAAATGAGGCTAATAGAGTGGTCTGTAAGTATCTGGTATTTAGCTTTTGATGTCACTTAGGTGTTGAATATAACTGTTGAACAGTGCTTAGACACAAGACATGAGTGTAGGTTGTACCTCCCTTAACTGGGATTCCCTGGCCTGACAATATCTGTGGTCCGGCACAGACCACAGGTGTTCCAAGACCACAGAGCCTAGGAACAGAGTGG